CCATCGCTGTGAATGTGTACACACAGCACTGGAGTGGAAGAGCTGAGCGCTGCAGTAAAAGAGAGTCTGAAGAAACATTAGAGAAGTCATTCCAGGTGAAATACACCGAGTCAGTAAATTTAAAAAATCACCACAAGCCTTCGTTGGTGAGTAAGAGCCCGTCACCAAAAGATCAGAGGCTGGGGACACGGTGACAGCAGGGTCTATCATCGTGGGCGTAGACATCTTTGAGATGATGAGGAGGCTATTTTTATTTTTTCATACACTATGTCATAACTCAGCAAAGCCCTGATGTGAAATTTAACAATTTAGCCTGAGGCTTTCAGCAAATATATATATTAAAAATAAAATAAAAAGTGCTGCTATGGCTAGATTTTCAGTAAAATATAATTTCTGAGATAAAAACTGCATCTTCACATTGTGGGTAGAAGAGACGTCAGAGGGGAATATCGTAACTTTGCCTCCTCTCTGACCTTCAGCTTATAAACTCACAGGGAAGGATGATGGAAGCTCTTGGGATGGCGTAGCTGGGATTAGCCCAGACGCTACAGAGGAAAGGGAATGACAGAGATACAGGAAACAGAGAGTGAACAAGGGAGCGATGCAGGGTGGAGGAAGAAGGATGACGAGGGGTGGAGGGACAGTCCTCCTGGCACCGTCGGCCTTCAGCTGGTTTTCTTGGGTTTAGTAACTGTTGCAGTTTGTATGAGAGTCAGTGGACACGCGCAGATTAACTGAGCCGTGCGGCTGGCAGGTCGAGCACGAAGCTTGAAGCAGCTACACAAAGATGCTGCTTATACTGATGAACTGAACCAAAGATGCTGTTTCATTGAAACAACACTGGTTCTAGTGCAGGCATGCACACCCACGCAACACCTCTTATTTGTTCATATCAGAGAAACTGGACGAGGTCTTGGATAGGGTTACCCATGTTTACCAGAAACACCAAACCCCTCAGAAGGCCTCTAATAAAGGACGGGGGTTCCCCAGCTTCTCTCACACATCTCATTACAACAAACTGTCCAAAATACAGACGTCGCTATGATTCGTAAAACAGTGGATCAAGCAGAAGCCTTCACATAACAGTCATGTAAATGTCTAATGTATAACTGTAACGAGCAAACTGTGTGTGAAGCTGCATCAACTCTTTCTACAGTCCCTGATTACAACAGCTGATGATCTGGCAGCTGTGCATGAACAATAAGATGACCACACACTGTTTGTGCTGCTCCACTCCACCTTTGTTGTTACACAGCTGTACAACCATTCATCATGTATTTATTTATCGTGTGTGATTGATTTCTTCTGAAGTTTCCCTTCTCTGAGCTCACACAGATGCCTTTCCTTGTAGTAAACCTTCTGGTACCCATGCTGTGCATAAAGCTCTGTAGTGCAAAGGTCTCAGGGTTTGCTGGTTTGAAGCATAGTGAGCAGCTGAGCACAAGCCGGGGAGCTGCTGACCAGTGCTCGTGATATTCTTTGCTCATAAACGCTGCACAGTGCAGACCTGCTGCAGCCCGGCCACAAAGCACCAGACTGCACCTCTCAGTGGGTATGCAAGCGCAGCCGTGGAGATGAGCACGCCATCGTCACAGGAAGTGTCTGTGGTCACAGTCGGGCTGAAGCAGTGGGATGACATGGTGAAAGCCAACAGCGCTACCTAGTGGAGGATCAGTGCATGGATTTGGGATCGTTCACATTCTGATTGGTTAAAAACATATTTTATATTTATGATCAGAGTACAAATACATACGTGGAGTTTTCAGCCATCTTTACTGGTTGTTTTGCTTTTTACTCCTCACAGCTGAACTGAAATATCTCTACTTCTGACATTTCAACAGTTATTGTTTCCTGTCACTCCTTAAATCACTTTAAATAACTGACTGGAGTCTAAAAGGAAGAAACATTTAACTCTTCACAGACAATCCATTATTTCCATCATCAGTTCTTATTGCACTGCGCTCAGAGGTTAAAGTGAAACTGTGTTTTGTGTTACTTTCTATTATTCTATCTTTTGTTGAGGTTTGTCATTTGTTAGGTTTTGTTCTGTGCCTGCTCACACTTCTCTGTCCGTGGTGTCACTCTGTCTGCTCGTGAATCTGTCTGTTCAGTCTGTGTCTGTAGGTTTCCTGTTTTATTCTGAAAGTCTCTGTCTCACGTGAGTGTGTTCACTTTACGTTTCCGCTGTCCCGTCAGCTCTGATGTCTCCCAGCTGTGTTGCCCTCCTGTCTCTCATCCCTGATTACTGCTGTGTGTATTTCAGCCCTGTTTTTCCGTCATCCTGAGTGCTTTTCCTGCATCTCTGTTTGTGTCTTTAGGTTTCAGGTTTGTTTTCTATGCTTCGTTTTTCCAGTTTAGGTTCACTCAGTTCTGTTTTTCGCCACCCTCGCCTTGTGTATTTACCACCTCCATTAATAAAGCTTCCTCACATCAAAAGTGACCACATCTCGGGTCCTTTAATAAATCCCACACGGCTCGCCTCGTGACCGTGACAGAAACAGCATTTTGGTAAAGTGAACCCTGGTTGTGGTATTTCAGCACCAAGCTAACATCACAGAAGAGGAGCGAGCAGGAGCTCAGCTGATCACATCTACCTGCTCTTACAGAAGAAGCTGTGGCGTGTTTCCAACTGATCTCAGGTTTTTAGGCGTGCACACAAAGGAAACTCGACCACGATGGAGGCAACAAACAGACGTTTCCCTGTTAATTCACTGTTGTTCTACATTAACGATGTTCATTCATAGAATCAGTCTGAGCTGAAATAATGTTGCTGTGTTAAAACTGTTCTTTTACACTTTGAGTCCATTTCAGAGTCTCTACTTTAAAAAAGATGAATCAGTACGTTTACTTCTACTCAAGTGACTGTGTCAGCTGTTGATGATGCACAGGTGGCAAAAGCCACCTTCTCTCACCCCAACCAATCACAGCAGATGGCCCCGCCCCTCCCTGAGCCTGGTTCTGC